GGTGCGGTCGCATGGCTTCGCCCCGCCCATTCCGGCACACCCCTCACACGCTTCGTGGCCTCAGAAGGAGCTCCACCGAGGGCCCCCTAATGGGCGCGTTGCGTGGCACCGCCCCGCCGATGTCTGCACACACACACACACACACCTCACGCGCTTCGTGACCCCACAGGGAGCTCCACCGAGGGCCTCAGCTGCAGGGTTCGCATGGCGCCTCCGCACTGCCACGGGGTCTCCATCCCCTCCACGGCACGATGCACATGGGAAGAGGGCCATGTCCTGCGCCGCTCGCAGCTGCACAGGGTTGGGCCATTCGCCTGGCTAGTTTTCGCTCCTGGAGGCCTCCAGAGACCTCTGGCAGCCTCCGGGGACATCCTGAGACCTCTGAGAACCCTCCGCCGTCCACGCTGGACCCCCGCGCCACCAGCGCTTCCCTGCATCTCGGCCACCCAGCTGGCAGTTGCCTCGCCCATCGCCCACTCCATGCTCCGTGCTGCGATGGCGGGAGATCTTCCCCAAACAGTGCGTGCACTCAGGGGCTCTTACTTGTTTTCGGAGAAGCTGGGCCTGCGCGGCGGTCTGGCGGCTACGTAGTCGCCGTCGCCGCCCCGCCGCCGCCTCGTCGCCGCCCGTCGCCTGGGCCTGCGCGGCGGTCTGGCCGCCACGTGGCCGCCGTCGCCGCCCCGCCCGTCGCCTGGGCCTGCGCGGTTGGCCTGACCGCCTCGTCGCCGCCCGTCGCCTGGGCCCGCGGGCCGGTCTGGCCGCCATGTCGCCGCCGTCGCCGCTTCGTCGCCGCTCCTCGCCGGGGCCTGCGGGCCGCCACGTCGTTGGCTCGTCGCCATTCGTCGCCTCGTCGCCGCCCGCTTTCGCTTTGGTTTGCACTGTGGCGCAGTGCTTCGCATTGCTTTACACTGTTTTGCATGGGTGTGCCTTGGTTCGCCCTGATTTGCATTGCTTTGCATTGATCTGCATTGCTTTGCATAGCACACTGCGTTGCATTGATTTGCATTGCATCGTTTTGCGGTGTACCGATTCGCATTGTGCTGCATTGCGCTGCATCGCATTACATCGCATTGTGTTCACTTGTATGGTTTTGCATTATTCTGCACTGCACTGACTGCCCAACATGACTTACACCACATGGACTGCACCACATAGATTGCATTACATATCTTACATCGCGTAGCTCACACCACGTATAGTGCACCGCAAAGGTTGCACCACATCGATTGCATCGCATAGCTTGCACCACATTGCGCAGCATTGACTGCACAACACCGAATCCACCACTTTGAGTGTACCGCCTATCTTGCACCGGATAGATCACAAGAAATCGTTGTTTTTGGTCCCACGGTGGCCAACCTGTGGTTTCCGCATCCTGGTCACCTCCATGACAAAAGTGATCCAGGAGGTTTCTCCACGTCCTTGAGCTCCCGAGCTTTCTTTTTGCCCTGACTCAGAAAAAGATTCGGAGCGAAGAGCAAAGTCCCGGAGAAAGCCCCAGGGTCCAGGGCCGTGTCCGCTCATGCCAGAGAAGGAAAAGGGGCGCGAGGGAGGAGGAGGAGGAGGAGGAGGAGGAGGAGGAGGAGGAGGAGGAGGAGGAGGGAGGAGGAGGAGGAGGAGGAGGAGGAGGAGGAGGGAGGAGGAGGAGGAGGAGGAGGAGCAGGAGGAGGAGGAGGAGGAGCAGGAGCAGCGCAGGGCGGAGGAGAGGGACGGCCAAAGTTCTCCGCACGGGTGGAGGACAAGGGCTTCGCCAACGCCTACGATTTCCTGTACCTCCCCATAGACCACTCCAGCGGGAGGAGCATGGGCTACGCCTTTATCAACTTCCGCACGCAGGCCTGGTGCGGCATGTTCGCCGAGGCTCGGGGGGCCCGCTGGCCACCTGAGGGCGGGGGGGGGCTTGGGAACACACAGTCCAATCAGGCACGGCAGAGGAGAAAAGAGCGGCGAGAAACAAAAAACGAAGCGATCACGTGCTGGACAAAAACCAGCGATCGACCATGATGATTGTCGGCTTGCCGAGAAACAACGAAGCACCATAAAAACAAATTGATCATGGGTTGGAAAAATCAGCGATCGACCACGATGTTTCTCTGTTTGTCGATAACGACGGACAACAAAAAAGAATCGACCATGGGTTGGGCAAAAATCAGCGATCGGCCACGATGTTTTTCAGTTTGCCGATAAACGACGGAAAACAAAAACGGATCGACCACGGGTTGGGCAAAAAAAGGGCATGCTCGCCTCATCGGCGAGAACTATCCCATTTTGATATCCTTCACCCTGTCGCAGTCGGCCCATCCCGCCACCGTGCCTGGGCCGTGTACGAAGCCACCCTAGGCCCCGAGGACAACATTCTATACAACAGGCTGCGTGAAACGTCATGCGGGACATATTGCCCCAGGAAGCGCACGGCGCCCGCCCGCGTCCCGAGGGCGGGCAGCATTTCACGCGAGCTGGGCGCGCGCATGAGGCTAGCTCGTGTTCCCCGCTCAGGGGGCCGAAAGGCTTCAAGATCACATGACTTGCGAATGCCTCCTCGACTCAGGGGAACAGCCACGCGGGGGGCCCTGCAAGCGCCCCAGAGTGCCCAGGAGATCCACAAACACAGGGTCTGGGTCTCAAAGCGAACGCACACGATTCGAAGCTCTGGGGCCTCGGAAATATCAGCTCGCGAAGACCTGCACAGTCTGAGTGCGCCGCGGACGCCATGCCTTCCCTCGTCTGATGGGCCAGTTGTCCACCATCACTGCCATAGGTAGGCTGGGGGCGAAGGGAGGATGGAGGAGGTCCTCTCCTCATCCTCCTCCTCCTCCTCCTCCTCCTCCTCCTCCTCCTCCTCCTCCTCCTCCTCCTCCTCTTCCTCCTTCTCCTCCTCCTCCTCCTCCGCCTCCTCCTCCTCCCCCTCCGCCTCCTCCCCCTCCTCCTCCTCCTCCTCCGCCTCCTCCTCCTCCGCCTCCTCCTCTTCCTCCTCCTCCTCCCTCTCATACCAATGGTAGCGGTGGTGGAAAATCGGCCCATCATCGTCCGCCCCCCGCTCTCCTCTGCAAGCTCGCCTGCCCGCGACCCGTCACGGCTCCGACCGCGCCGCGCGACCTCCGGCGTTGCAGCACAAGCTCTTGAGGCTTCGCGGGAGCCGTGGACGCTCCAGCAGGTGGCGATCGGGGCTCATGAGATGGGGGTCAAGGCAAACGGGGGTCGGCCAGAGCGCTGGATCTTGCAGGACCCTGCAGAGCCAGGGGTGCATTGACCCGGGCTTGGGCGCAGGATCTTGCAGGATCCTGCATGGATTGACCCGGGTCAGCGCGCCCCCGAGGCGGGCGCTCGGCCTTCGGAGGTTCGTTTGGTCAGTCTCCAAGGGCGCCCTCGAGGTCGCGCTTCGCGGTTCGGCTCCGATTCCTCCTCATCCTGCTCTTCTCCCTTGGGGGGCGGCGCGAGAGCGCGAAGTTCGGCGCCCTGGGTTCCCCTGGCCCACCGGGCCCTTAGAGCGACCAGCGGACCACGAGCGGAGGCGTTCAACGGCGTCCCGGTGAACCAGTGCCTGTCCGGCTTCCGAGCGAACAGTCGCGCGGCAGCGTCCGGCGGCAAGGTCTTCGACGTGCGCATCGCCCAGGCGCTGGGTTTCGGGACCACGTCCGAAGGAGGGTTGTGTTGCGTGTTGCTGATGTCTCTCGGGCGGCTCTCGTGGGCACGGCAGGACGCGGCTCGAAAAACGTTGGCCAGAGCGGTGTCTGGGAGGGTTCTGGAGGTTGATTTGGGGCGAACGTGCACGGGCCGACCCAGACCAGGTGCAAGGCTTCGAGGCGAACTTCGCGAGGGTGAGCGCTGGTAGACACGTCGGAGAGAAGGAGGACCGCGCTGCCCTTGCCTTGCGAGGGGCCGTCGTCGTCGTCGTCGTCTCCCTCTCCTCGTCCGTCCTTCTCCTCCCCCTCCTTTCTCCGACTCTTCCTTCTTTCATTTTTGCACGGACTCGAGTACACATGCGGGTTGAAGCGTCATCGTCCTCCTCCTCCTTCTATTCTTCCTCCTCATCACCACCATCATCATCATCATCATCATCATCATCATCATCATCATCATCATCATCATCATCATCATCATCATCCGCATCCGCATCCTCATCCTCATCCTCATCCTCGGCCTCCTCCCTCTCATCCTCCTCATGTTTCTCCTCCCCCTCCTGTTCCCTCCTCTCTCCCCCCCCTCCCCGTTCACTGACTCAAGCGGTATGCTATCGGGTAGTACAGGCAAAATCTGGCGCCCCAGTGAATAAAACCCAACATAAAGGTACGCGGGGGATCTCCATGGGCATTTGGCTCAAGGTACCTTACCGCGCGCGCTGCACACGTGCTATACACCGCTATACATTTGGGACAAACGCATCTTGTTCACCCATCCGCGTCACATCTTGAGCTGTAGCGGAGCAGCCCGCTCCGCGACCACTCGCCGCCGCGATGGCCCGCGAGACTCTCTTCCGTTCTGGCGGTGACCGGTCTATCCGCTCTACATCGTGCACAGCGCGCATTTGCTTTACACTCGTGCTGCTCGCCCACCTCGCCGCGGCAGGCGACGCGCTTCGATGGGGCCGTTGGAGCAGCCAGCCCGACCGCCAGAACCGGCGCAGGTGACGCAGCACAATTACTTCGACAAGTACAGTCACCACGGGGACAGCGTGCCTTTCCCGCCGGCTCTCCCCCTTGGGCATATTCGAACTTCTGTTCGAGATGTTCGGGGCCCCCTTGTTTTCATCGCGTTCAGTTGTGAGTGCCGCCGTCAGCGTCAGACCGTCGATCGATCCGACGTCCACGCCCACGGCGTTTGCAACTATGCTGCGGAAGCTTGAGGGGGAAAGAAAACTGACGCATCGCCCTCATTGCATCCGCATGTTGGTGTAGCCCGCAATGTCAAGCCATCGTTCGATCCGACATTCACATCGTCGGTGTCCGCAAGGCGACCCGAGCTATCCGCAACTGCGCTGTGGAAGCCAGGGATTCACGCGCAGGCAAGGTTAGGGTAACTATGTTGCTTCCTTCCGGGGGACCGTTACACGAACTTGGAACTACTCGCCATCAGTTCTCCGGAGCATGACCTTCGACGTTTCCCACGCACTCCTTGCTTCCTGGCAGACATGGATCGCTATGCATACTCCTCTTGACTGTCGAACAGTTGGCAGTGCTCAACACAGTGACAATATGACGCACGACGAGTTCTGCCGCCACCCTGTGGCGGGGTGCTCCGCGTGCAGTTCGCACGCCAACTACACTCCAGAAGAGAGGACCCAATACGCGAATGAGAAGGAGCACGCCACGGACAGATACCCACGACGGCTCGGAGGATCACTGCCAGGACGTCGCCGTTGGTGGGTACCAGGACTGCAACGCCTCCTCGACACCCGGAAGTGGCTCCACTCTGGATGCATGGCTATCGGAGTGGCACGGTCGCCGCCATCAGCTGCATCACCTGCATGGGCGCGGGCGGCGGCGGCGGCGACAGCGCGCAACAACTCCGCGCCTGGGGGGGTCGAGCAGCAGACTCGCGCGCCCTTCCAACGCTGGGCGCGAGAGGTGACGATTTAATCAGCGACGAATTCAGATTTCAAAGAGTTTCGCCACGCGGCCCACGTCTCGTCTCGCTTAACCAGCACGGCTCGCGAGCACGCGGACGCATGGCCGCCAGCTATCTTCGTCGAAGGCGGTCGCATCAACAGCAACCCAGCGCCGCCCGCGACCCACCTCACGCAAGGCGCGGCCGAACGGCGGGGCAAGCACGGAGAGGAGGAGCGCACTCAGGCGGCATCGGCTCTGATGAGTTCCAACCGATTGCCGCGGGGGCGCATCGTCAACCTCCCCACCAGGTTCGACATCCTCCGTAACAGAGCACAGCAGGCCAGTGAACTCACGATCGGCCAAGAGGGGCTCAGCTACTTCCTTGCTGCGCGCGGAGGGCGCGTCGAACATCCAGCCCACCCTGATCCTGCAGCATTGCCACATGCCGAAGCCGACCGACGCGCCACAGCTGGCGCACACGATGGGCCAGCTACGCAGATTTGGACACATTATCGAGGGCTCGCCGGGACATCCCGGCCCGGCCGCGCAATCGCCCCAACGCCAAGCGTTTCTCGCGGGCACGCCCGCGCGCGATCAGGATCATATTGCCCACGGCACCGCAGCTGGATCGAGCTGGGATGGCATGGGCCCCTCAGCCCTGGGAGCAGCACCGAGTCCACTTTCAGCACCGTTGGCCCCCCACGCTGACGCAGCAGCAGCAGCAGCAGCAGCACCTCGGGCGGCATGTCCAGCAGCAGATTTCGACTCTGGACCCGATTCCGACACCGTCGGCTCACGCGGCGAAGACATCGCTGCCGATAACCCCGACGCACGCAAACTTCCCGCGAAACAACACGGCGCACACCAAGTGCCACGAGAGCGACTCAGAGGAGCACCCAGTGCGCGACTGTCTCCGCCACCCTCTCCCTGAACACCCCAGCCTCAGCAGCACCGCCACCGCCGACGCCAGCATCTTCACCGCTCACGCAACTGGGAAGTCATGGAGCGCCTGGACCAGTCGCTCAACAGACTTTCCAGGTGCATAAGCGGTCTGGATGACCAGGGGAACCCACGGGATGCCCGAACCTGTATTTCTGGGGCCCGACAACGGCGAACCCACACAGAGCGCCAACCACTGAAACTCCGGCCAGCCGACTCCAACGTCGGCAACTACGCGGCCAGTTACAGCAGCAGCAGCCCACGGCGACTCGTCGGACGGGTCCTGGCAGGCAGTTGGCCCGAGCCATTGGTCAAGTTGAGCGGGTATTTCTCATCGTCTCCACCGGCTTCGCCCAACCTTCATGAGGCCGAACTTCGGCGACTACGGAAGGAGATGGACCACCTCGCGGGCAGCGCGCGACAGGACTCTGCTCAACCGACGGATAGGGCGACTACGTTGCCAGTCCACGCGGCAGGATCGGGGGGCGCAGCAGCTACAGCACCCACTGCTCCAGCAGCATCCGCGGCACAACCATCACCGACACTACAGCGCTGGGCCGGAGTGGCCAGTGCTTCCCCGCTGGGGCCACAGCATGGGTGCGACTTGGCAAGCGACATCAATGCCCGAGTCGCCATGCCAGCTAGCCCACCTGCCGATGCGCAGTTGCCGAGCTGGGCCTACATGCCATCAGTCTCCGCACTCGGCATCATCGCGTCGTATGGATCCAGCTCCACGTGGCCACAATAGTGTGCACTGGTAGCAGTGCCACCACCGATGCCGGAGCCCCCCAACGATCTGGCCCTCTTCAACCAGCGCGCCCAAATTGGCGTGAGCCTGCCGTCCAGGAGAGTGGCCATGTCGTTCGCCAGCCGCGACACCTGGTTGTCCTGCGGCGCGCGATCCGAACGCGGAGTAGGCCCCACACTCGACCACCCACAACGACGACACCTCGACCAGCTCCGCAGCACCCAGCTTGCACTTGAGACCCTACGACAGCAGGACGAACAGCGACGACGAGCCGCATAGAGTTGGACAAAAACACCCACGAATCCACCTCTTGCGCCGGCTGCAGCACCCACTGCACCCCGCGTCGCGGTCTTCAACGACGACGGCAGTGAATGCTTTGCTTGTCTGGAGGCCATCGGACATAGTGATCGAGCTGTACGCCTACAGTGCCACCACATCCTGCACTGGGCACACCACCTATAGCTTCTGCAGAAAACCGACACACACCTGGTGCACTGCCTGGCGCGCCGCGGCCAAGTCGACGACATCACCGACTCCCGCTTTATTGGTGCAGATCGTGCTACCGAGGGCCCGGCAGCTACGTTGCCAGCCCGCGCGGCAGACCCAGGCCCTCCGGGTCCAGCACCTGCGGCGCTGGCCCGGCCCGCACTAGACAGCGCGCCAGAGGAGACACCAGTACCGCAGGACACCGCGCAGACTCTTCGGCCACCAACACCTGGGACACCGCGGCAGGACCGCGCGCAGTCTCCTTGGAGCGTTTCCAGTTTTGCGTCTGCTGCCGACTCGGCAGTGCCATGCGACACCCACCTGGACATGCATGCTCCCGCGCACCGACCGACGTTCACGCCGCGGCCTACCTCGTCAGGCACAGGCCCGAGTCCACCGACCGACTCACCATATTTCTTGGCGAGCATCGACCTCCCAGGCGGCTGGCTAGGCGACGACATGGACACCAGCGCCTGGACCAACCTCCAGGGGCAACTCTTCGCGAGGAACCTTGCCAACAGGGCCCTGAGGGCGAGGCTCCAGCCCGCGGAGGAGAGGCTGACGTCTCCATGGTACGTAGCAGTGGTGGGCAACGGCTCACAGGTTGCCCATTGGGCCCACGATGGCGCGACCACCCAACGCAGAATGCGCACTCCTGCAGGGAATGGCGACAGCTTTGATCTCCCTGCCCCACTTGGCCTGCAGTCCACGAAGTCCAACATCTGGACCGCGGAGACAGGCGCATCACATGAACGCCTCCTGTTTCCCAGTCCTCGAGGCTATGAGATACTGGGGCCCAGGCACCATGCATTTCGACCTCGAGTCAGCATCGCGCGGGCATCTACGCATCCCAGTCGACAACGCTGACCCCTTCCAACCTCCGACCCGGGAACTTCCACCCAGGCAGTTTACACAACTAGCAGTGGGCAGTTTCCACCAGGAGGACGACGCCAGCGACATGCACGGGCGTGGCCGCTCTTGCATCACCGAGCATTTACATGCGGATTGCCCCGCGCTCAGGACCAGCTCTCAACCCCGACTACCGCAGCGAGATCAAGGACATCACGCACCACACCAGCCCGCGAACGTTCGCAGTCGAGCAGGGCCAGAGGATCGCCCGACTCATCCTGGA